CGATTTGGATTTGGTTTATTCTATCTTAAACACGAACGAGTACAAATTTTTTTTTTTTGTAACAATTTAAAAATTGTAAAGTTTGTAAAAGTTGATTTTATTTAAATAAAACTTTTGATTAAATGAAAAGATAAAACTTAAAGTTCAAATAAAATTTGAATAATTTATTTATTTGTTTGTTTGTTTTATTTCAAAATCCGACAATTTTTCAATTATCTTGCTCTCTAAAAATCTGATATTTTTTTTCTATTAATTTGATTCCTCACTAAAAAAATATATATCATCACATATTACTCGATTTTTTTTTCGATTAATTTGATTACCCGTTCCAAAAAATCTAAAAAATATACATCATCGCATGCTATTGTGGAGAAATTACTGCTTTATCTAAAGAACTGCTTTATCTAAAGAATTAAGATATCCAATTTTCTTTGATTTCCTAGAACCAATATTGTTTCTAAACCAGATCTCGTATTCATGGAAAGTCAAAATAAAATTCTAAAAAACGCATTTGTTGCGTGATTATTTTCTTGATTCACTCAACAGAATAAAAATCTCATTTCATCGATAAAAACAACAGCCAATATGGATTTTTCATGTAGCAACAAATGTACCTAAATCCTGATGGAAATTGCAATCCAGATTCATCCTGATGGTAAAATCAAGGTTTCACCATCTTGAAACTTTTAACCTCAAATCATGGAAATTATTCGACTTAGTAAACAGGAAATAACTAGAGGGTTTGTCGGAAGGGCAATTAAAATTCCAAAATACCCATATATTTGTTGCGTGATAGAAAGGGTCACTCAAAATATAGTTGATCACTACTTTGTAATGTAATCAGTATGTCGAAAAATTTAACTATGATTTTTGCATTGAGGTTTGGACCACTCCTCCTGCTCCAGAAACTACACATGTTGACACAACGTCTCACCAGCCGGTTTCCGTTGAGCTTACTCCCCCGGATACCTCCTCGCTAAACGCGACTATTCACGCACCGCCACTTTAGAAGTTGTGTTTTCTTGATTCTCTCAACAGAATAAACATCTCATTCCATCTAAAAACTAATTAGATTTCACCATCATTGGAATGGATAAGAAACTTAACCTCAAATCATGGAAATTATTCGACTTAGCAAACAGGAAATAACCAGAGAGTTTGTCGGAAGGGCAACTCCAAAATACCCATGTATTTGTTGCGTGATAGAAAGGGTCACTCAAAATATAGTTGATCACTACTTTGTAATGTAATCAGTATGTCGAAAAATTTACCTATGATTTTTGCATTGAGGTTTGGACCACTCCTCCTGATCCAGAAACTGCACATGTTGACACAACGTCTCACCAGCCGGTTTCCATTGAGCTTACTCCTCCGGATACCTCCTCGCTAAACGCGACTATTCACGCACCGCCACTTTAGAAGTTGTGTTTTCTTGATTCTTTCAACAGAATTAGAATCTAACAAGTGTAAAATATAAACACTCATTCCGCTGACAAAATAACAGCCAAAGTTAGGTTATGTCGTGTAGCAGCAAATGACCAAAATCTGATGGAAAAATGTAATCTAGATTCAAGGATTCAAGTATTGATAATTATTTTGACCTCATATCGACGGAAATATGATCTTTTGATCTTCCATCACCAGCGGGTAGAGCACCAGCACCAGGAGGAGCGCCATCACCATCCAGTAACTATTATAGAATCTGTTTATAATGCATTTACTGGTTGCTTCGAATTCAGCCATTTACAATTTCAGTCATAATTAACAATTGATTTATATCTGCATCATATATGCGTTCGCATTCGTGCATTCTCTAAATTATTTTCATCTTTGGGAAAGGAGATGCAACTTTAAAATACCGAAATAGCGTTTACAGTTGCAGAGTGCAAGATCTTGTAATTAGGAAGAGTGAACCTTTTACGATCATCAGTTGATAGAACATCAATGGCTTCGTAAGCATTATCTCCGAACCCTAATGAGTTATCTTATACTTAGTGACACACATAATGATCTTAATAAATGTTCAATAATTAATTTTCTGATAAATGAAGGAGTGTGATTTAAATGAAGATAAACTAAATTACAACTTAAAATGTATCCATGAGCTGTATTAGTTGTTCTTTCAAGACATCAAATCTGGAGGAGAATGGGTTGGCTGTAATGTACCAAGATGTAACTTAACCCAAAATTAAACAAAATACACTTTGAAAAAATCAGTGAAATTATTGTCACTTTTTATGGCCAGTATTTGGTTTTCTGAAACAATTACGTTCGTAACGACTCCATTCCTGTTCTCTTTAGTACGAGAGTAGTATTCGCCACTTCTCAATAATATTTGTTGTTGATAAGAAAAGCCATATTCTGAGATTATACATTGAGGTATTATCTCCTAAATTAATACTAAATCTAATGAGGGAGTGATACTAATCAAAAGACGAGAAAGTTGATTTTCTTTGCGAACTGCTTGCATTGCCTTAACATTAACAATTATAGTAGTGATACTATGCATATTTTCATATGTTGAATCTGTCCAGCATTCACCATATCATGAATTTCTCAAATGTTAAAAAGATTTCCCTATATATGTAACCTTGTTGACACGAAATCACAGATTATATTTGAACATCAAGACATCATATCAAGACGTAGGATTGATTTTCTTCGGTATACATATTTCACATCTGTGAGATGATGTTTTGGTCAAACCTCTATTCAGTACCTAGTCGTTGCGATGCAAAAAGAATGCATTGAATAAGGTGCTCCCACATTAAGAATCTCTTTGGACTGAATGTGAAATCGGAAGATCCATTAAAAAAAGGAAATCCATAGATCTAAATTATCAATCATTTAACGAAACTCCCAATACAGGACATTGATCGGAATGTGTAAAATATCTAAAAAAAAAAGCACAATACAATTAAAAATCAGAAAAAGAGTAATGATAAAACGTTTTTCATTAAATAAAAATATTACAGGATTAATTTATAACTTAAGAGCAAAGTGGTTAAGAAACTGTCACAGGAGCCCGCCACGCCACGCAGGAGCCAGTCGAACAGGAGCCCAGTCGAGCAGGAACCGGCGCAGGAACCGGTCGAGCGCTTCAAATTTACCTTCAATTTACCTTTGTGAAATATATTCATTAAAATTCAAATAAAAATAACAAAATATTAAGTTTAAGACTGCTTCAAAATTTACCTCTACAAACTGTTTTTAAAAAAGATAAAAGAAATCCATAGTAGGATTACCTAAAATATAAAAAAATGAAAGAAATTCATGAAAAACGGCAAAAATAAATTAGTGAAAATTCTGAATATTAACTTAAATTGTCCCTACCACTCCCTCGAAGAAATAAAGAGCCGCGAGGAAAATGGTAATACTTCAATATTCATTATCATTTGTTGTAATTATTTATTCGCCTAATCAGTATTTATCTTGTTACATTCAGACCTCTATAATTGCACTCTCCATAATTGCACTATGTATACGCTCTCTAAATGCACCCTCTGGTTCGGTCCCAAGCTTATATGATCTCTAACTATTTTACCTCTATAAATGCACACCCTCTCTAAATGCACTATTTTGAAAATTATGCATATTGTCCCAAAGAGGTGTTGTATCTATATCGACTTGACTAACCATAAAAGCTTCCATTAATTTTTAAAGCCATTCTTTAAGAACTTTTCATAGTAATTCTAAAAAGAATGAGGTGTGATCAAAGTAATATGACAATATCTTTGGAAATTACGCAATTTGCTGAGACTCAGAAGTTAAGAACTGAGATTAAAGATATTTATGCTATTAAGGTTGTTATCGATCGTAAAGATTGGAAACATAATATTTGAAAACTTTGACAAGAAAAAGCGGTTAAATATACAATCCGTTGATTTGTTCTGGAAGAAAAAAAATTTCGAGTCGAAAACTCGGCGACGATCGTTGTGTGAACCAATAATAAAATTGACCGGTTAAATTATACTCCGAGAGTCTCAATAATGGTAATAAAGCAAAAATGATTGGTTGCACGTGATCGCAATTCAATGCAGGTGACAAACTGGAATATGCAGAACAGAGAAAGACCCTTCAAGAGTTTGTTGGAAGAAATGCAAACAATGTTAATGTTTACATTGGAAATTATAAGGCTCAAAATGCATATCTCGTAGTTGATCCCGAATAATACATGACGGAGAGAAGGATTATTTCTTGTGATCTGGATGGAAAAAGAAGAAATCTCTATCATTAGTGGCATCAGAGTAGGATCGATGTGTGTATAACACCGTGTAATACAATAATAAATGGTCAATTGTAATATAAAAAATTTTTTTTTTTATTGAACGTTATAAAATTTTTAACCATGAACTTTGATAATATATAAAATATTATTATTATTTATGAAGATGATCTTATTGCAGAAGTATCTAAAATATCTATGTGAATATCTACAACACATAACTAGAGAATTCTCACCCAATATGGAAGTTACTGAAATATTGACAGACTGTTAAGGCAATTCACTGACGTGAAGTATACAAATTAATAAACGCAGAAAATAATTTCATCTTTAACATTTGATACAAATAAATGTCATGTTACCTTTTCATATGACACTAAGTTTCTGAATGCAATTGTCGTTGAATCTCGTCATTAAACAAATTTAGTATTTGTTCATAAAACACGTCAATTCTCAATCTGCCGGACTTAAATAATATTTTGCGTATAACATCTAAGGATGCCTAAAAGACCGCGGTCCTACGGTCTTACCCTTAAAAAGACGGACCGGTAGGACTGCTCCTGTATCGCATACAATAAGAACCATCTATAGAAAATAAAAATGTTCATCATATGTAATACAAATCACATGTTAGATTGGCGCTATCCTGCAGTGTAATACCAAAATAGGTCAATAATTAAGAGAGCTCTGTCAAAAATTTGAGATTGGAACTGATATTCAATCATGATGAAAATAGTAGTAGATTAATTGCATATATGCATATTTATTTATTTTTCTGCCGAAATTTTAATATTACATATTAATCATATTAATAAGATTTTGTTTTTTTTGCGATTCACAAAAAAAAATATATTCTAATAAAAAACAGGTGATGGAGAAGGCGGATCCTCAAGCTGTTCACGCTTCATTGGATTTATAGTACGCGCCTTTTTGCGAGTAGGTTTTTTTGGAGATTGCTTAATAGGCCGAATATAAGTTTTCAATGCTGAAGTTTTAGAGGATAAAATTGAATTGCGGCTGTGTGATTTCTTTAACTTCTCAAGTACGTCAACAGTTTCATTTAAACCTTTCTGTGCAAAAAAAGATCAGAAATGAGATGCTTCATTATAAGAAAAACCAAAAATAATAAACTTACTCCGAAATTCCATAATATCGGTAGCGCATGCATAAGTTCGTAGTGATCCTCCCAACTGATTGGGAACCGGAAAGTACCGAGGAGAAACATAAGATAAACTTTCTTAGCAGGAATGTCCATTCCCCAAATTTGCACATCTTGTCCTAGTAAATGTGGACACTTGGTTTAATAATTATTGAAAAGTTAAAACTCAAAAGTTCACACTTCGCTTTACTTACCATGTGTATGAAGAAACCATACACGAAGTTGTCTCATAACCTTATAATCGCCACATGGAAGCATCGTTGCAATGTTATTGAGAAGGTCTCGCATACCCCAGCATCCACGAACGTGGTCTTTCAGATATCGAGGAAAATCATCGGTGTTATACCCACCGGACATCTCTATCATCCCAAATTCAAACGGTCTATTACCAGTAGACTCAAAAACTCCATCAATTTTAAGACCTAATGGTTTATTGTCCTCAGGCTTAATGTTACGTCGAATCAAGCGCTGATTTGCGCTTGCTTGAAGATAGAATTCTCCTCTAATTTGAGAGAAAGCAATATATTTCAATTATTAAAGTGAAAAACATTTGACATGAAATTCTGAAACATACGGAATATAAACATATTTATTATAAATGTTTGAGACGTATTGTAAAATGGGATGCAATAGAAGTGATCCCAAAATAGATTCTTGTTCACAAGGACAGTGGAACGCGTTCGTAGGATTGAAAACTACATCCGCACTTAATATTAAAAATAAATTAATGATCAGAACAATAACAAAATTAAAATGACATCGTTATACAAAATACTTACAACCATCGAAGTACATTTACAACAAATACCATTTGTTTATTTTTTGCATCGAATTTTGCGTTGTTAATACATTCCGAGTATTCCGCAAGGGAGTTCTGCAATTAGTTAATAATAGAATTAAATATACAATAGTACATTATCAAGAGTTTTATTAAATACTTACTGTTTCTAATAAATCGTTAAATAGTTTCTTCGCGTCTGGTCCTAGTGAATCCTTGGGAAATTCAACGCTTTCTTGTAAATATTCCCAGTCGTCGCTCCCAATCCACTCTGGCTGTTGAATCTTCGTTCCAAGTCGTATAATCCCCATATAAGATGGACTATGTGCAAATGAATATAAGTTAGATTGAAAAGCAGAGGGAAAAGAAATAATGATCTAAAACTTACTGGGATTTATGTAAAGAAGAATGGCCACTTATTACGTCAACTACCGATTTGCCAGAAGGCAATATCCAAGTTTCCATTGGGCTATCATCAGTGGGGTATACTGAAGTAGAGATTCTATTCTTTGATTTAAATTCGGTAGTAGCGATGCTTGGTCCAACTTCAGACCCGACAAACTCAACATCCAGGTCATCCTTGTACTCATTATCATTAATGTTGGAATATATTTCTGATTCATCGCCTGAATTTACAATTTCTATAGTTTCTACGAGAGGAGCTACACTGCTATCTTTGGAATATTTTCCTTTCTTTACATCAACTCCTACATTGAAAGTTTCGTTATATACAAATAAGTAATTACTTAATACATTATTTAATGAATATAGAGTGTGAATGTATTACCAGTACCATTGTGATTTTCTTTGTTTTCCTTGTATGTATTTATTATCTCTTCCCATAGGATTCTTAACTTTTTATATAACCGTCTATTTTCAGCATCTACCTGTTGTAAAGAAGAGACTCGTTAGTAGTGCATTAGGGCGCCTGAATTGAGGACTTGGGATGGGTACCAAGTTGTCAAACCCAGTAATTCTCCTAAAGTCAATCGCAATCAACCCGGAGTTGCCTTAACTTATTATATTTCACATTTAATTCCTCCTCCAGAATTAAAAAATCTTTATTAACGACAAATTTAGGGCGCCTGAATTGAGGACTTGGGATGGATACCAAGTTGTCAAACCCAGTAATTCTCCTAAAGTCAATCGCAATCAACCCGGAGTTACCCACAAACTGCGAAATATAAAACGCACCTTATTTTTTAAATAAATATAGCTTTCTTTATCAAAAATTTGTTCCGCTTCTTTTAGAAACTTAGTTTTCCACATAATGTTAAGATTGTCCCACGTATTTGGGAATGATATCGATTCAACAATAACCTTACGGTTGCGTAGTAGAAAGCCATAATACGATAAATACGATAATTTTTCTTGTCCTTTAAGATAGTTATGGAGTTCTAAAACCAAATAAAGAATTTTAACTCCTGAAAGTGGTGAGAATACATAGGAAGAATATGAAACAAATGAGACTTACTATCTTGATCACTGTTCATTTTTAAAAAATTCTCTGTTTAAAACGTCGACTTTAAGTTTGATAAAAAATAATAAAAAAAACTGTCGAAGCTTTCTTTCTTAATCATGACTAATAAAATAAACTCTTGTGGCTTAATATGACGAAATACAGCAGAGCAAAGTAAAAAAGCCATTTTGAAAGTCAGAAAAGTTGTTGAGAGGACTGATCAGTCTGATCACTGATACGATAAGTACGTCATTAGAAATCTGACATTTGCCAGCCAATGAAATTGATAGATCATGTGATTAATCACGACCTCGATAATCGATATATCAGATATTGTTTTCATAATATACTGCCCCAAATGAGTGCTACGGATAGGAGTATGGTCGGGTCAGGGTGATGAGTAGAGTTTGCACTATATGTGACAGTTTACAGAAGTGACAAATAACACGACGGGCCAAACACGTGATTTGGAGTGGGCCGAGATGCTATACATCACCATACCTACTTATGTAGGTGGTCCGGGGGTGGCCCTAATTCACCCTAAAGTGAGGTGAAGGTGTCCCTTTGTTGTCTGACAACTTTTTATATCGTTATATAGATAAACTTGTACTCCCAGCTTTTTGGTAAACACAAAAATCCCCATGATTTTGGATCGAAACATCCTTCCCATTTTTTTTGGATTAACGTACTCCCCTTATTTTTGAATAAACGGAATTACATTGGCCACCTGTCACAAATACCTTCCAACGGGTATTAACTTGTCTTTGAATCCAGAGTATGTAATGAGGGTGCAGTAAAATATTAAGCACTTAAAGAGAATTTATATAGGTGTCACTGTATTAAGTAATTGAAAGTTTTTCGTGATACTTGTGTCACTGTGTCATCATATAAAAGATTTTCGGGTGAATTTTTTTTATGATAATACCATAATTTGTAGTTGGCATTTTTTTCCAAACACTGATACAATCTTGTAAAATAAAACATAGCAAGTTCTTCCTTCAAATCTGTTTCTGGTTTCCCTACCCTGATTTATTAATAACAGAATTATAATTATAAAAACGAAACAAACCTTCTAATAAACCTGGCATTGTAACCCGACCAAAAAAAAAAAAGAATTTGGATGATAACGATAAAAAGGTATCCAGATGCTCTTGTCTATATTCAAAAGAAAAATGTCATTCATCGAGATTTGCCAGAAAAAATATTAATGTACTTGATGATAAGATAAAGATTTCGGATTTTGGATTGGCGATTCATACAAGCAAGAGACGTATAAGTGTATAATATTCTGTGGTACGCTTAATTACTTGGCAATCGTATAGGAGAAGGACGGACGAGTATTATTCCTAATAAAGTTCGGCTGCTGTCATTACCCCTATAAAAGTTGAAGAAAGTGACTCTCCTGATATCATAGTAGGCCTGGTCTTATTTGAATAGATCTGGTCCAACGACTCCGGAGGTGGAGAAATGTGTTTACTTATAAAACTTTAAGTTTTCTCGCCAAACGCCACGAGATCTTATTATATTACAGCTTTAATATTGTGCTCGGGCAAGTTTGAACCCATTCTAATGAGGATCAGCTGTTAAAGTTCCGTTAGGACTGGTTAGAACTTCTTCCAAGACTTAATATAAAATCCTCTAAATCAAAAGCTCTTATTACGAAACTTTCTGATGCAATTACTGCAGTCGCTTCACCCGCTTCATCTAATACCGCACAATTGTGGACAGAAAAAAATATCGCCAAAACCTTGGTTATTTCGTGGTAAAGTGAAAGATGTGGAAAGATGGCTTAGCGAATGAGATAATGATTCAAATTTAAGAGAAAAGATCAGGCATTATTAATTGCTGGTTCTACCAGAATTGTTACAAATACAAGGGTATAACTTAATGCTAGTGGTACTCGAACAAAAAAATTTGAGCCCTAACAACAAAAAATACGCTAGTTACTAGTTTTTACAACCAATTAAGCTTCAAGTACAAATGAGGTAAACATACAGTATATTTTATGGACGAATTCAATGGTATGCCTGCTGGTTTTGAGATTGTCTAAACAGAGGTAATAATAGGAGGAACGAAAGAAGGATGAACTAGTTAGGAAATGAGTACGATGATTACTTCGAGGATGATTGTAAAGAGAGAAGGAGATGACATGATCCAAGAGAAGATGTTAAGGTGATAAGGATATCGATAAACTAATTAATTTGATCAAGAAACGATAATACCCATTGTTTCCATCTGCAATGTTATCAATGCTCAAAACCCAAGCGTCAAAGCTTTATATTCATGAAATGAACCTCGATTGAACAAGTCAGATCAAAAATTATGACAATTTCAACAAGGGAGAATTTACGAATTTAATCAACGGATCCGTTAGAAAATCTGAAGTCTATCAAAACGTTATATAAAAAGATTTGCATCTCTTAATCTCTAGTGTCTTTTTCAAAGCTGCTATTGCAATATCTTACGGAGATATAGATGATGAAAATTCATGCTATGGTCCTAATAGGATGTGATCTATTTCTTGATCATGTGATGTGGAAAGAAATGAAACTAACGAAGTTGCGGATCATGTGTGTTTGGTGTGTAACGAAAATTTTTATTTGATGCATTGTTTCCTTTATTATTTTATGAAGTTAAGGAAGGTATACGAGTTGATGAGTAGAGCGTATAATAGAAGAGTGTGTAGTATTTATATCTTGGCTTGGAAGGAACGTTAAATTCTTTTTGATGAAGTTGAGATCAAGAGTGTTTGGTGTGTAATAATAATAATTGGTGAATGTGTAGGTATAAGTAACTTTTACCAAAAATACAACAACAATTACGTTCTTCGATATTAGCTGCATTTTTACAGCGCACGAATTGATAACGTTAATATACCTTCTCTTATCAATCACCGCGCATGTAACATGCCCCTTTTTTAATTTTCGTCTTCGTTCTCACTTTTGTTTTTTTCTTTATTTTAGGTTATGGTTTGGGTTGAAATTGCTCATATGATCAGGGTAAGTTTAAACCTTTATTTTTTTTTTTATTTAGGATTTTTGCTTTTGTTCTCACCTTCGATTCTATTATAGGTTACGGTTTAGCAATTTATGATCGAAGTATGTTCAACCTTTGTTTTTGATTAAATTTTTGTCTTTTTTCTTACTTTCGTCCTTATTTTATTTTAGGTTATAGTTTAAGTTATGTTCAACCTTCATCTTTTTTTTTTTTTTTAGATTTTGTCTTCGTTCTCACTTCCGTTCTTACTTTACTTTAGGTTACGTTCAGTTTAAGCGACTTTACTATTAGGATGTGTTCAATTCATCTATCCGTGTTTGATGTTTATCTGTAACCTTCTTTTTGTTTTTATTTAATTTTTAGTTTTGTTTTCACTTTTTTACATTTATTTCAAACTACGCTTTGTTTGAAGTAGTTCATAATTGAAGTGTTCAATCCTCTGTATTTTTTCTTTTTTATAGTTTTTGTCTTCTTTTTCTCAATGTTTCTTTTACTTTCCTTTTATTTTTTCGTCTTTGCTTTTACGCTGTGGGATTTCAATATGAATTTTCAGATTAGGAACATTGGAACGAAAATTTTCAAACAATTATTGGTACTTTTGTTGTAATGTGATGTGATTTGATTCTTTGAATGAAGAATGATATTCATTTATTGAATGTGTTGTAAAATTTTTATCAATTTAAATTAAAATATTTAATTTATTAATAAAAAACTCAATTAACTGGGGGTTTGTCCTTTTTTTTTGTACATATCTCCATGCGGCTTTAACTTTCCTTTTTGTCCAATAATCTGCTGATAGCTTTAGAAGTGCATCAAGTTCTTCATCGCTGGGATTTGGATTTAAGATAAGGTGTCAAAATACACTTTTCTTCATCAGTTATTACATGCCGTGATTTCTTAAATCTTGTGGTAGTCCTGCCTCAGATTGAGGAGGATATTTTTTAGATGTACGTTCAGCAATTTTTATATTTTTTGTTTTGGTTGCAACTAGCCCTTCTTCCTTTTGTATTAATGGGATCAATTTTCAATACTTCTTGCCTATAAATTTGCACAAGTCTTTCTTCTCCTTTGCTATAACATGAAAAAAGTTTAGCATAACCATTCTCTGTCAATTCCTTGCAATTTTGAAATAAAGGAAGACTTGTTGGATTTGGTAAATCAAATGCAGTTAATAAAGAATTAACAAGACCCCAAAATAATTCATATCTTCCATCAACTACTCGATCACCTATAAATTCTCCAAAAAGTAAATCCATCCTTTTCCTTTCTGTCAATATTATAAACTTTATGTATTTGACACTAGAAGTTTCCAATGCTTCATCAAATGCATAAAAATACTCTTCATGAGTTGGATTAATTGATGATGCAAATTCTAAAAGTTTATGAAGTTTGGGATATTTTGCTAATAATGCAAGATAATTTACAATTGATTTCATATAATTTACTTTTCCAGCTTTCAGAAAAAAAAGATTGTTATTAACTATAATTCAGCTTAAAGTTTTAATGTTAAATATTGGTCAATTCAAGCCTGAATGGTAGTCAAATAATTTGGGACTATTGGCACCTGAACTACATCAAAATTATCGATCTCAATTTTGCATTGATGCAGATCAGACCACCATTAACATATTTTTGGAGGGTAATATCGGGAAAGGAGTTTTTTATTAGCGTTTCTATTAATTAAAAATAGAATCTAAAAGTTTAGCTTTTTCAGTGTTAGTATATAAGTATTGGAATAATCACCATTCACCAAAAATACAAATGATTGGAATATAACTGTATAAGATGTAAACTTTCCTTAAAAAGATGAAATCAATAATGGGGTGTATTTCAGTGAACATGGGATAACATTCACTAAACATGTCAAAGAATCTTCATAGAAGGAAGAATGTTATATGCTTATTGGAAATCTAAAGACCATAGAGCAATAGACTCACTTTTTATAAATTCTATGCATAAAGAATGATAAAAATCCTAAATTGATTCAAGCTTTGCAATAAAGTATTCTTTTGTATAGGGTTTTTTTTAGAGACGTAAAAGTTCACAAAAAAATCAACGTGAAAATCAATACAATCAATACGAAAGAAATCAATATAAAAAAATTCATGCAAAAGTTTTTAAAAAATAACCCAACATAAAGGTTTTTCAGCCTTTTAAGTCAAGAAGTTCCTAACAATAAACTATTAACTATGATACAATAACCATGTATTCTGAGCGGAGTTAAAATGATCAAAATTCTAGAGTTTCGAATAGTGTCTCATCTGCTAAACTAAGTAGGTAGATTCAAACTTCGAATTTGACCTTTCTTCTTATTTTTATTAAGAAAATTTCTAAGTTTACACGGGGTGTTTGTACACAGGTCATATAAATATAATTTTTAATAGACTAATTTTTTGTTTTTTAATTTGAAATTGAATGCTACTGACATTATACTCTTTTACTTATTATATTAC